CTGTTACCCCCCAACCTTCTCTCTCTCTCTGCCCCTCTCTTCTCTGCATCCTCTCTTGGGATTTCCTGGGGCCACAAGAAGCTGTAACTCCTCCAAGGTCCTCGGAAGCTGCAGAGCCTTTGAGGAGCTGTAGCTGCAGCCCTGACCCCCACACTGGCCCTGTCCTCAGGCAGAGCCTTGAGACTAGAAGAGCTGAGCCTCAGTCAGCCCTGGTTGTCCTCCAGGACAAGCTGAGGTCCGGCTCTGTGGGGCTGCCCTTTGCTCCTCCCCAGCCCATGACAGTGCTCCTGAGTGGCCCCTCGGGTCACTGTAGGCTGGAACAAGACCAGCCCTGAAAGAAGGGCATTGGAAAGTGACAGGTGCTTGCTTGCATTGGACCCCATGCCCAGGGCTGGTGTCAGGACTCAGGCTGAGTCACAGCGGCAGCATGTGGGACCGGCCCTCCCTTCCCAGAGCACACTGAAGAAACCCCATCGCCTCCAGTGCCTTCTGCACAGTCAGGCTGCCTAGGTCCCCTCCCATCCTCAGGCTAGGATGGTCCTGCCTGCCCACCACCCTGCTTTCCGCTCTTTGAGCCTTCTCTTACTCCCCTATCTTCAGTCAAAGAAAGATCTGGGATCTACTCAGCCTCTCCAGGGCTCAGCAAGCAGGTGACAAGATGCCTGCAGGGGCCTGCCCTTCCTCTTCTTTTAACTCAGAAAATCCAAACAGCGGTGGGGTTGTCTCTTTATATTCTTTTCAGTCTTGCCAAAGATTTCTTTATTGCCTTAATTTTTTAAAGTTATTTTTATTTCATCAGTTTGCTCTGTTGAGTTATTTTTGTGTTGTTTTCTACTTCACGTTGACTTTCTTCCCTGCCTGTATTCTTTCTCGGTCACCTCTCCTCTATACCAGCCCCTCCCGGTCCCACCCGCCAGACCATAACCACCACAGAGGGGCTTTCTCCCCTGTTGTTTGCTTTGGCAAGAATGCCACGGGGATAGCATCCCATGGTACGGAGCTGTGGCTGCTTTCGCTCGGAGCGCTGCATCCAAGAGGCAAGTGTGCCCTTGCTCACATCAGCAGTTCCCTCTCTGTCCCTGAGAGGACTGTTGGATGTGGGAATGTGTCAGTGCAGGTTTATCCATTTCCCAGTTGAGGGCCATTTGGGGTGTGTGTTAGGCCAGGTTGACTAGAGAAACAAATTGTGACACTCTCATATGGGTAAGAAAGAACTGTATATCAAGAAGTAATTGTGTATGGAGAAAACATCCCAGCTGGTCCAGATCAAGTCCCTAAGACTGATACTCGTCCATAACTCCCTCTCCAGACACATGCAGCCACGTGCGAGGATGAAGAATGCAGGAAGGTCACAGCCAGTGGGTGCAGAGCCCTGTGGGACCAACGGCAGAGGAAGCATCACAAGGCTCTGGCTGGTCTCAGCCATGTGGCTCACCCACAGGAAGTGAAGCAGAGAGACTGTGTGCCCCCCTTCAGGAAGGAGAGAAAGTTCCCAGAATCCTCATCAAAAGGCCACGCCCACAAGGAAGCATCATCAGGCTGTGGCCTGATTGACAGGCTAGACTCCACCTCTTATCAAGGGAGTGGAGCTTTTTTTTATCTAACTACCACAGGTTGCTCATAATTTTTGTGATTATAAGGAGAGCCGCTAGAAACATTCTCATGCAGCTTCTCATAAGAACAGAGGGTATTCACTACATTCAGGTAAAATATCTAATAATAGGAAAGGGGGAGGTGGTGGGAAAGGAAATGGTGTTAACCAATGCAGGGACAAGGGAACAACAAGTGATCCAAATCGGTGGTGAGGAGAGTGTAGGAGGCCTGGTAGGGCGCGATCAAGGGTAATGTAACCGACAGGAATTACTGAAACCCAAATAAAGGCTGAGCATGATAGTGGAACAAGAGGAAAGTAAAATGAAATAAAGAACTAGGAGGCAAAGGGCATTTATAGAGGTCTAAATAAAGGCATGCACATATGTAAATATACTTATATATGATGATGGGGAA